GGCCTCAAGACTACTAATGAACCGTGGCCAGAAGTCCCTAAACAGAGGGCGGTCAATCTTCTTGAGGCTCTCCTTTGTACTGGCATCAACACTCACATACAGCTGGGTCACGGGCACCAGACTCCTAGAGGGATGCACAGGGTTGTGCGACAATGATTGTGATATAATGGACGCTACTTCTTGGAATTATAATCAGTGATAAAACCATGCATCAAGCACTTTAGATTCTAATTCTGAAAATGCGACAAATTTTGGTCTCATGAAAGAGGTGGTTATCCTCGGGAGATGGTACGTAGCTACAACAAATCTTTCCTTCTCAGGAGATGGTGAAGCAGTAAGTATTCAAGCTCCCATTGTTCAAAACGCAACACCACAGCCAATTGGTGGCAATACGCTGATTAGCACACATTGCAACATCAATCTAATTGTGGGTGGAGGTCATTTAAACTTTGCTGTGCGTGTGTCGACTGCTATTCTGGTACTTGGTACTACAGGCTGGTGGCATAAAGGGCGTTCGAGAGAGATATGGCCAATATGCAAATCAGCAATGGCTTACATGACCAGTGTTTCCCTGTTCGACGGTACCCTGAGAGGCATGAAGTTAACTACTAGAAGGACAAGTACTGAATACAGAGGTTGTATTTTATGGAACAAGTTAGACTTTGGGTGAGTACTTGTCAAGTAAGGGATTATCGACTAATTCTGCTTACATTCGGGTAGTGGTCAGGTAGCTACATGGTATGTATGCTCAAAACCCTTGTGGCTAGTGTACATAACCGCCACTGAGTATATTTTGTACATACCTAATAGAATCAGGGAACTGGGCATTGGTTACAAGGAATGTTGATATTCCTCTATCATGTAGGAGTCCAATGAGGGTGTTGATCTCAGGGTACATGATAGGCTCTCCCACCAGAGACAGGGCACAGTGCTTGGCCTCCATACCCTCCTCCATCCTCTCTGGCTTGACACCAGGAACACCTGCAACATGTAGATGACATTCTGCTAGTTATGACGTATAATAGTGAAGTCATTGTCGAGAGGAAAGTAAGTAGTTGTGGTGTAACATAGTCATCATTTTTAGTTCACTGTAAGACTTAGTAAAGTATGGCATACCACAACAGCCACTATGCAAACAGCCAGTACAAACAACGGGCCCAAAGCCAGAGTGCCAACATTCCAAGAGCCAAAATGCATACCAGACCACTGATGAGCAACCACAATAGTAGTACAGGCACTTAGCACTGATGAATCACGTTGTACTATTTCATTCACATTCCACTCAGGGCATTACTATATAGGCAATGCAAGAGTTCAGTGGGGTGCAGTTTAGAGCCAGTGTCTGGAAGAGGAGCTGCATCAGAAGTTGAGTAATATGCAGTCCTTCAGTTAGTACAGAGTACTTGTTAGCTAGCTTCCAGTGGAGCACAATGGCACTAAGGAACTCAGCACCTCAGTATGTAGGCACAGCAGATCAGGCAGCAGAGGCAGTGACTGGTCTTGTCTTGGACATAAAGGTGAAGATTTTCTACTTGTTCTAGCAATGTCTGCTCTGGCAGCTACCAGCTGGTGTAATTTGAATACTCCTAGGTTACGCAATTATTTGAAACTCTGTAGGTCCCAGAATAAAGTAGCACAATTCACATGTGTCTGGTGGGCTACATATAGAGGTAGCCATTCAGTCTGAAGCTACAGAGGCTAGAACATTATTCCTGCACATTTTCATACAAAAAAACTGAACAATTCATTGTCCAAGTATGGTACTCTATAGTGGTGCATATCATTCAGATACCCTGAATGGAGCCTCAGTGGGCTGACACAAGACAGAATGACCTTAGTGCGACACCATTGTTGCGTAGTTAAGTGTACGTAATTGAGATGACTAGATGTATATACCACATGGCGAAACAGACAAGATTGCTAGTATACTTCATCCCTGCTGGAAAAATTGCCTGCATCTAATAAATGTAATTGTGTAGCCTCGTTCCCAGGCTCTCCCCCTCTGCCCACAAATTTCTTTGAACTCCCTGTAAAGAAGAGGAAGAGGGAATTCATTGGTTAAAAATGTGTGTGCGGAGAGGGAGAACCTTGGAACGAGGCTAGTAATTGTGTATCATGCCTCCAATGCTTGCCTACCAAAACGAGCTACAATGGTATGATATGTTACACCACAGGAGAAGTTGGAGGCCGAGTGTGGTCTAAGACCTACTGAGGTGGTAGTTGGAGGCTCCATTGGTCACAGGACTGCCCTGCCATGGAAGTTTGATGCCGACATTGTCATCTATTCAGAAGGTGATTGATCATGTCACACTCCTGTTACAGCATTAGTGCACATCGTCTTGATGCATGTTGTGGCACAATGACTAATCGTGTTGTTAATGACTCTTCCAACATGTTAGATTTGTATCCAACAACTCGTGTCATCTACTCTCCCATTTCCAGAGTCATACAAATGTGCTTGTATTAATACAGAATAGAGCATTGCTTGTCTATTTTCAGACATCGTGGCAGAGGAAGTGGAGAAGAGTGGCTATGACAGGTGGCTGGGCAAGATCCACCACTTCATGCAGAAAGACCAAGACATTTCAGAGTGCTACCAGCTCCAGAACATCACGGCCCACGGGCTCCAGTTCATCTACGAGGGAGTGGACATGAATCTCCTGCTCAGCCCCCACTGGACACGCCCTGGAGACTACTTCAAGTATCTCAGCAGCATCTCGCCCTCCCTCAGATTTAGGTGTGTCCACCTTACTATTCATGTGGCTATAATAGGGATCCAGATTATCAGCCAATGACTCCACAGGTTCTCAGCATCGGCTGCCAAATGGCAAGTACAGTTCTTCAAGCAACAGTCCTCTCAGGTACATGGGCATACACACCACGTGTAACCGTAACACAAACAGTCATCGTGTCGGTCGGCCAGGTGTGTGTGAATATACTACATCCAGCCAACATAAACATTCACCTTATCTGCATTATCCTTTGACAGTATGCAAGTAACTATGTCTGCCAAATTCAAACTTTGCAAAATACCAAATTTGTGTAAATCACGTTAGAATCTGGCATCCATGGTTATTAACTGTCTGTACATCAATTACATGCACAATACCTTCAAAATGACTTTTTCAGCGAGCATGACCTTTATACTTTTTACATGACGTTTAGCTTTGTCAAATGCACAGCTCAGACAACTAGGTTGGTTCACAAAGTACCCTTCTTCACTAATGGCGCGAAAAACTGTGGCCATTTTGGTTTTCCGTAGAGTAAGGACCTGTGTTGTGACCTGATCAAGCGAGCCAAGGCGTGGCGGGACCACACGTGGCCGCGGGGTAGTGGAGGTACGGGTCGGCCCAGCTCCTACCTCGTGTCCCTCCTGGTGGCCAAGGCTTTTGAGAACTCCCAGAAAAAGATGGGACTGTTCTCGACCATGTACCCTGACACCCTGGCACTCAAGTGAGTCTGAAGAGCACCTCGGTGTATATACTAAAAATAACATCGTGACAGAGCCTGTGCCATAATGTATGCCAGGGTATACACATACGTAGATGTAGAGGGGAGTGTGTGACTTTTGTACTGAATATGTGGTGGTATTGCCCAGAACACAGAATTACGAGGTCAAAAGTAGGCTGCTAGTTACGCATACGTATATAAAAGTAACATGAGTTCACATTACTACCAACATAATCATAGTACTCTGTATCACTCGCCCCTCCGAAATGTGTAAGCTTAGTTTACATGTTAGTGTTATTTTATTTATAGGACGACAGAAGAACTGAAGTATATGCTATTGAACCACAAAACAATTGAGTAAGTATCCGCCCATAGATTGGAAATGGGCAGCAATCTCTCAGACACATACGTACATACATGTCGATTATGTAGTTGTTAGTAGTATGCAGAGCATTCGGCAAACGTGTGTTCGAGAGTTTGGACAAATTTTAAACAAAAGAAGTGCAATATTCAAGTGTATGTGCAGTTGGAGGACGTACCAATGTACATACATACTTGGATATAGAAAAATTACAGTTCTGACCCATTAGGTTAGCTCACTCCGGCTTGCAAATGAAAAGAAAAACTTTTCACTGAAAACATAGAGTCTTTAGGGAAAATTGTATGTGTGTCCTATCAAGCAAAAACTTTCAGTGATAGTTTTTGCAATGTTTACCGAGGCTATCTGAAATCAACACACAGTGTCTATTGGGAGCACTACTACTCCCTCAGCCAGTACCAGAGCATGGTGCCCAGCAGTGTCCCACGTGTCATAGACCCGGCCAACCCCTCCAACAACCTCTACGACACTGGGATTGGCTACTACTGCGCCAACGAGAAGTCCAGTGACTTTGAGCAAGGCGACGGAGACTGGACTGCATTCAAGAAGAAGATACACACAGCCGATCTCACTAAGCCCATCGAACACTGGCTATGATGCCAACTACACATACCCACTTCTAATTTGATATTTACATGTTGTTTCTTTCATCCAGCAAATCAATGCCGTTGTCGTGTGTCTATCATTCATACGTACACACAATAATTGTGACAAATCGTAGCTACGTAACTCTTTGTCTACTGAACTGCCATTGGTGTTTGGTGTTAGTACACTTACATCATCTATGTCATTGTCTACTGAAATATAGTGCTGATTATTCACTTCTTTGCTTTCTACAACTTTGTTTATTAGTTTATTATAACCCAATAATCATATTTCACGACAGAACATTATGTGGCTGTATTGTCTAGTGTTGTGGTCATTTGCACCCATGCACTGCCACAGACGAGACTAGGGAGGTTCAACCCCACTCGTTGCTTGCTGATGGGTTGCACTGGTGGGTGGGCAGCCATGCAGTTTTAACACAAAAGGTTTACTCAAAAGTTACCCCACTTAACAACCCAATTCCTTCAGTTTTTCCATTTCTAATTTTCTCCCTCTTCTTAATCACATTCTTTCAGCCTACGTGGCGTAAGATTGGGAACAAAACGTGCAGATTAATGCAGCTACCGGTACTTACACGCTTATCAAACACATACTTCTCTAGACAACTTTTAGTACGTACGTATGGGCCTGTTTGATACAAAGTACGTTAATCAGCTCATATCACTAAGTACTACCGTACTTAGTATATAGGGATGACACAGGTCATCCTGCATTATGCCCATACATTTGAGATTTTCATGTTTCACTTTCAGTTTCAATCAGATCCACCTTTTGACACATCAGACTGATCCGTATCGTCACAAAGAGCATGTATCGGTACTTGATTTATTTGACAAAGTTAGTTTTCAGAATTCTTCTTCTTCTTGTTCAGTTTAGCCACGTGTATCTCAAAAACCACTTACGACAAGTA